ATCACGTGGAGTTGTTTTCTGGAAAGGGCCGTTCTGAATCCAGAATGACCCGTTCTAAAACTAGAACGGTCCGTTCTGATGCACTGATGGTGTGTGAAATTTGCATTTGGAACGGCCCGTTCCGGTTGCTAAATTAACACACCATGAGTGCATTCAGAACGGGCCGTTCTGATTCCAGGTGTATTCATGCAATTTGGCGTCCACGTACGCATCTACGTGGCATCCACGTGGCCAACAATTAACCCCGTTTAAATCATTTGGACGAAAATTGCAATGATTTTAATTATTGGGGACCAAATTGAAACTAAAAATTAAAGTAGGACTAAATTGAAACAAAAAATATTGTAAGGGACCAAAAGAGGTTTTTGACCTAATATTAATATTCAAATTTAAGATTTTATGCATGTATTTATCATGTATATATAATATTGAGAATTAAATTTTTTTTATCAATAATTGAGACTACTTATTATTTAATTATTCTCTAAAGTGAATTGCTTTTTTTTTTTTATAAATAAAATTAAATCCAAGTGTGATACTCATTATTTCAAAAAAAGTTATAAAGTTACATTAGTGATATTCTTGATTACTCATTAAATTTTCATGACTATTTTTAATACTTTATCCGTCCCAAATCTTTAGTCCTTTAAGATTACATAAATTAATTAATATTTAACATACGTAAATTTAGACAACAAAAACTTTACTTAATATTTCATTAGCTGAACACCATTATTTGATTTTTGTAAATATAAGGGAACAAAAAAGAAAATGTTTATTAAGTAGGGTTACCATTGAGAAGAAAATACTATAATTGAACTTTGAAATTTCAAATTGTGAATTTTTTGGGGACCAAAAATAAGACTAAAAAACTAAAGATTTGAGACAAATATGAAAAATATCAATACAATTATTTACAAGTGACATTGATTTTTTTTTTACCATATTATAAGTGTGAAAAATATCTATCGAGTTTGCCTATATTTAATATTTATTGATGAACTTGATTGTCTATTTTTTTTTTATAAAAAAAATTCCATTTTAGTTATATTTTTTTTTCACCATAATATTCAAACTTGTGACATTACTTAAAAGATTTGAGTCAGCTCCACTTTAGATCAAGGTAATGTTAGTAGATAAATTGTTAATTTAATATAATTTCTTAAATTTTGGTTTAAAAATAATGATCTTGAATAATAAATAAATAATCTAGTGTTAATATTCTCCCCTTTTGTTTTTATGCATATTTTTACCTTATATTGTGATGTGCAAATAACATTGGTCATAGCTTCATATCATAATATCTTACGATTTATTTTTAAACAACACGTATATGAATTTAATTTTGATGTAGTGTAGTGTAGATATTATTTTTTGCAGTCATATATTAGTATGTTACCATATTCTTTAATAAATTTGATATTTTATATATTTCTTAACATGATTAAACTTGTTAAAGTGGAGTGCTAAATACTAACATAAGTTTGAATGAACATATTCGATACCGACATAGAGCCTTATATTCTCTTTTGCAAGACTTGAAACCCAAAATTATATAGAAGACAAACCTAGCTTCTTACCACTTGAAGCCAACAAAGGTTGGTTATTGTATAATAAATTTTATACAAGTAAATACATTTTTGTTTAAAACGACACAAAGGAAACAATTAAGTAATTGATTTGTGTGAATAAATAATTTATGACCATTCTGTTATTCATTATATAAACAGTCATTTCTAAAAACACACCCAACTCATCAATATTTGAATGTAGCTCAATTAAAATAAGAAATGGTATTTAAGACAGTCCTCATACATAACATTGACAGGATTAACGATACACATACTAAACCTTTATTCCCTAACTCATGTCTACCTCTAGACACCATCAAGGAATGTTTGAACATTTAGTACTCAAAGCACTCACATAACAAGACATATATATACAAAAGATAGATCACTCATTATAAATTTACTGATGTTACACTTAAAACTATCATCCATTTCTCCTTCACTTATTGAGTCACCACTGATACAATTACTGATCCCTCAACATTCTGATGAGCATGTTATTGCTTGATCCTTGGTCTCCTTCTCCTCACTTTGAATTGAAGAAAAATGATTCTCTTCCATCACCTTCTTGCATGGCTTCTCTTCATGAAGTGATTCTTGTTCCATTCCCAGTTCCCTAAGTAAAGCCTTAATCCACACAAACATGGAGCTTCCCAAGCTAACCCAAGATATGGCTTTACCAACCTCATAACTATAAATCTGTCCAGAGAAACACCAACTCAGGAGCAAAATGTTCCCATTGTAGAAAAACACAGAGAGCAACTCAAAGAGCTTCAAAAACAAATTTTTGACAGAAATTGGCCTCATCAAAGGGTGTTGAGAAAGTGCTTCCAAGTCCAGCTTTGAAATGAAAGGCCAATGAGCCAACTTCTTCTTCACCTTGTGATCCCTGATCCACTCAATGACATAATGAGCCAGCTTTGAGACCAACAAGTGCAACAACCCTATGGCAACGTTGAATAAGCAAGTTTTGAAAATCTCATGGTTGAACTTCAAAGCAGCTTCCCAGTACCAATCTATGGCACCACGTGTGGCCCCCCAATAGACCAAAGAGGGAAGTCCAATCCCAACACAGATTCCAAGGTGAGAGTGGATCTCTAGGGCAAACTTAACGTACAAACTTATGGGAATGCTAAGACCCCATGACCATGGCTCGTTCATGAAGGCACTAGAGAGGGAGGAAGAGCCTTCATTGATGAAAGCTAGGATACAAATGGAGAGGAAATGAAAGATTTTGTCAAAGTCAGGCCCTTGCAAAGTCATGTTGGTTGATGATGTAACAAAGGGTTTCTCTGACTATGGTGGATCATTTGAAGAAATGCTTCAGCGGAATAGGGTCATTTATAGAACCTAAGAAACTTCCTAGAAGTTTCCATCTTCATCAACACTTGAAAACTGTTGTGCATACACAAACATTGAAGTACTTGCATGTGTGTCCATCTTATATGAGCTTCTTTAAAGCATTGTTTTCATATGTTGCAAGTGTGCCAGAACCTTCAGAGAAGTTTCGTTTTGTTAATTTAGTGTCGAAATAATAGTTGTAATATTTGTACGTCTCTTTCTCTCTCTCATCTTATGTTTAATTTTCCAATTGGACCCTACAATTTCTATGTTATCCTACATCTGTTTTTTTATTAGTTTACTTTTGTCCCTTCACTTTAAAATATATTTTTAGGTTTAGCCCTTTCCGTATTATAAATAAAAGCATAAAACATGCGGGTAAAATAGAAAGTAAGGGGAGGAAAAAGTACTATTGATGGTTATATCTCGCTATAATTTGGATTTTTTCAGTAATAATAATAGCGAGAGACCTAACTCTTATTAATCACTAATGGAAAATGTGTCAAGTGTGGGAATGGGAAGAACAAAATTAATCTTAATAGCGGCGTTTCACTAATTACAATGAGATCGGTGTGTTGAAGGCGATCTCGGGGATTTATTGGGGTTACATTAAAGTTTTGTGCCTCTAATTTTTTCAATTCATAATTTTAGTCTATATTTTAAAAGAGACTAAAATACAGATTAACAAAATATAAGGGTTAAAAATTTTGGCCTTCTATTTATCTATAGAAGCAAGTAAATATGAGAGTACCGTTATTGAGTAGGAAAAAGGTAGTGTTTGCGGGGTTATATGCATGTACTATGTATAATTTAAATATTTTCAGTTATAATGAAACCTAGCATCTAATTACTCATGGAAAATATGTAAAGTTTGATTAGGGGGAGGGCAAGGGATAAAACAAAAGTGTTAGAATGCGATCGGTGGTTCGAGGGCAGCTTAATGACACTTGCTCTTTTAAAAGATAATTCCAAATCATGAACCCGCTTAAAGATCCGTTGTTATTTAAAAATAAATTTAATATAAAAAAGGATGTAGAGGATAATGATCCGAAGATGTTAATAAGACACAAGGTGTCATTTGAAGTAATCAACTAATCATTATGCATAAGCTTGACTTAAAATAATCACTTACTAATTATTGTTTCTGACGGCAAACATAGATAATATATATTTTTTTTCAATTGAACTTTCTTCTTGTTTTTTTATTTTAGTAAAGGACAATTTCGTAACACAATCTACTTGTTTTTTCCCTTCTCAACAGTGGAGGACCCACATGGCAACACAAAACAATGGACAATTCGGTTGCTGATATCAAGGAACTCAACCACTGTAAATGAGCTCCCAAAACTGTAGTTTTAACTTTTAAAATTAAATTGATCTTTTATTGTAAAAACAAGAGCTTAAACTTGAATTTCCACTTAGAATGAATTAATGAATAAAAGCATTGATGCCCATAATTCAAAGATATACTGACAATGTTCAGTAAAAAGTCAAAAGTGCCATCCTCTGCTAGCTTGAGAATAAAGTGAAGAATCCAATCCGCATCCACTCTCTTATGAACTGGTTATGACTCAATAATTTGAAACTGTTCTCTAAACATTTTAGTGTCCTAATTCAAGAAGTAAAAATGCAAGTAAAATTCTATTTTTTTTTTTTGACAAAAAAATGAAATGGGTTAGATCATCAGAACCAGGGGCATAACAGTTTTCAAGACTGAAAAAAACACTTCGAAAAGTACTTGCATATTACGTATTAACAAAATTCTCACATAACAAGATTTAAACCAGCATCCTTGTAAAATGAGTCAAGTCCTTTCTAACTGAACCATCATAAAAATAAAATGCAAGTTCAAAGGTATTATTGGCTTTAGGCCTCAACCACAAGGTCCCAATAATTCATGACATCTTGTTTTAGATTCACTAAAATACTTGGGGTCCTATTGCTACACCTAATTTGAGGTTGAGCTCAAACCAAAATCTACCATTAAATTATGCCTGGTTTCCAAAACGAGTTATACGTATCCATCAAAATAATTAGGTGCAATATAACAAATTAAAATAGCAAGGCAAACAAAAAAAAAATACAAAATTGGACGCAAATGAGCACTTTAACAGAAATATTTGTTTAATAGAAATATTTGTTTCGGACAAACACAATTCTGTAATAGATGTTTAGCACATCCAAAATATAAGCACTCTTGACCCACTTATCCCAGCAACCATACCCTATAATACACCATATCTTTCATTTTGTTTCCACGACCTGAACTTCAAAATCAATCATTCATCGAGCAAAAGCTTGGCAAAGGTATCATTTTCCCTCCCCAGGTCCACCAAAGAGATAACCCAAAGAAGAGCCACCACCAGGGGCAGCATGGACCTTGGTTGAGGGTCGGTCCTGCATCCGATTAGGATAAAAAAAAAAATATCAATCCAAATAAATTCCAGAGAAAATACAATCTATGCATGGGCAGGCAAGCTATAGTTAGAAAACTTTAGTGGAGCAAAATAGACAAAAAAAAAAAGAATAAATATACATATACTTTTCATTTATCTCTCAAGAATGCTATAAAAGTATCATCTAAATGTAGATAACCCAATAACCGTGCCTTATTCCAGTATGTTAAATGCTAATTGCCTGCAAACAGTTTTGAGTTCTGCTTACAAGACAAGATGATAGCTCTATCTCTATCATTGATATAAAGATATTTTAATAATTTTGCCAATACCGCTTAAATAAGCACACCAAGGTCCACATAAAAAAAAAAAAAAAAAAAAAACATAGTCAACATTAAGAATTCCGAGCATAACATAATCTTTAATGTTTAATGTGGCCTGCAAATAGGATTGTATTCTGTTTTACAAAGAGAATATGGAGCTCTATCATTGATATAAATGTATTTTAACATATTTGCCACAAAGTTTTATATAACCACACCTAGGTCCAGATTGAAAATATACTAATAGGAAGTCAACATTAAGCAATACGTACATTAACAAATTTGTATACAACAGCCAAACTGACATTCAAGGTTAGTTACATGATTAAGTAGATTCATTATCATTGCATGGGGAAACCAACACCTGAATAGATGATTAAGTATAATCATTCTCATTGAATAGGCAAATCAATCTTTTGATTCTTCTACACATAGCAGTAAGAATCAAACCCAGATCATAATTCTTATCTTCCAAATATTTGATAATTTCCACACTTGTTCAGATATCAGTACAGCTCACTAGATCGTGACATCCAGACCTAATTATTTTGAATTTTCAATGCAAGGCCACAAAGCACAGGCAGTTCATGGCATAGAGGTTAAAATATAACGCTCACATTTAAACTCGGAAAAAAGAAATTAAATGTAAGTTAACAAGCAGAGATGATACCGTGATGAAGTTGCCAGTGTTCTGGCCATCTGTAGAATGACTGTTGATACCAGCAGCCTTGTTTGGGTCTATTGTTTTAGGAGCAACAGCTGGTTTTGAAGGAGGCACGTCATTTACAGCCTGCACTTCGGGTTGGGCAGCATTTGTTGCTGGTTTTGGTGCAGGGGCTGGGGCCTCTCCACTGCCAAAAAGATAACCCAAAGAACTTTGACCACCACCACTGCTTACCCCGCGACCCATGCTCTTCAACTGATTTCTAGAATGTACAGTTTATTCTCCGCCTTCAAATGGACAAACAAGATCACATAAATCAGAAATGACAAAAGACGCGAAACAAGAAAAAGGCCACAAATAAACTGCAAAAACATACAAACATATCTTCAGATAATAGTCACTGTCAATCATGCAATACAGCAATAAACATTAATCAAATGTATTTGCATTTTCACCGCCACCATTTCTCTGGTTTACCACCAGTTTCTTCATCTTGTGAACAATTGATCTTATATTTAAAAATGCACCTAATCCTATTACTGACTCAATGCACAACGCAACAAAAGCAACAACCACATGATTGTAAGACGGAATATATCTATCTTCCCCTCTTTCTATTGCTTCGATGGAAACAGAGGAATCACAAGCTGTTCCCACCACAACCATTCACATTACACAGAATAAGCACAAGCGCAACGACATAAATTGATTCAAAGCGAAGCAATGATAAAGGAAATCGATTACATAAAATTTCGACACAGAAAAACAAATGGAAATGAAAATTGAAAATGGATCTAACAAAGGCGGAAAAAGGGTAAGCGGAAGAGAAGAGAAATGGAAAATGGAAACCCTAATGGGAAGGGAGAAAAGAGGTTACCTGTGGGTGAGGAAGGAGCAGATCTGGAAAACGGAAAGGTCTGGCAAAGATGGGAGATGGGGGGGTGTGGGTTATAAATACCCCTAAAGCACACATTTCAATTATTAGTTAAACTTAATTGGTTAAAACTTATTAAAAAAATTATAAATTTTGTGAGTTTTTGGTCTCATTTAAGTTGTAAAGTAACAAGTTTCTTTTGATTGAGTGATAACATCCATCAAAATTTGTGTAACTTTCAATCAATAATAATCACAAATCTTCTTTTGATTATTTTTTAAATATATTTTTTATTAAATTTATTGAAAATGATAAATTTTTATTTACTTACCTCTAATTTAATGAGTTTAGTGTCTAGTTTTATAATTTATAATAAATTTAAACTATATATGTATTATTTTAGAGGTAATTAATTAGGTCATTGGTCTAACTCGACATAAGTCAAAAAAGATGGAGGCTAAGATAGGAAAATACATGATATGGTGTATAATAGACTTATTGTATTTGCCGTTAGATTAGTCTAATTAAAAATAGTCCTACCTACATCCTTTTGAAATGAATCACTCTATATCTTTGTTAATTTTTGCATTTGCTCACCATGTAGTACCATCAGAAGCTACCCTGCACAATGCCACAAAAAATGGCTTCTTGGGGTGACACCATATTCTTTTTTATGTTTTTCTTACTCGTTTTTCTTCTTATCTTTTCCTTCTTTGGGTATGTTTCATGATTTGTAGGGGTTGAATGGTTGCTACCTTGTAAAGATATGTAGATATGGTGCAAAGGGGTTTCATGAACCTTAATGGAGCTTCATTGTGTATAATGCAACAAAGAACAAGATCTTTGTAAAGAAGAGCAACGATAATGAAGAGGAATAGGAGGTTCCTAGACAACTCAAGGTTGTCATCCTTCGTCTTCATGGTTCTCAACTAGACTATTTGAGTTGGATGTCAAAGAATATTGTGGTGGTGGCTATGGGAGGGAATGTGACTGGATTGCCACAAAGAAAAGCAACAATGAGAAAGGGGAAGGGGTGATTTTCGATTAGGTTGCTTTAGATCATTGAACTTCACCATTGTGGTTAATGATTGGACTACACTCAAGGTGAATGCTAGAGGATGTTGTGATGATCATAGTCTATAGTAGTTGTAGTGACTATGGGTGATTGCAGTGCATTAAGTCAATTTTTTTTTCAAACCTAAATTTTTAAGAGTCTAATTCTATCTTACTTATGGTTATCTGGATTGACTTATTGAATTTAACTTTCTTTGTTATCTATAATTTATTCTTTTATAATAAATATATTATAATTTAGAATAATTTTATAATTAGTTGATATCGTAATTTTATATTGATAATACATCACAATTTGTAACACACTTATAAGATTTAATATCTTGGTGACTACACTCTATAATACTTTACAAAATAACATTTCATACAACTACTCACATGTATCCTCGTCCAACCATTAAAAAAATAGATACATCTTATATTGTTGATATAGATAGTACAAATTAATTCTTTTAATCATTCTTAATCTTATAATCTCATTTATGTACAATTTTTGGATCTTTCTCATTCAGATATGTCTAAGATATTACATAATTAATCTCTAAAAATTCTCACTTACAATAACAAATATATTTAAATATCAATTAAGATTTTGAATAGAAAATACTGAATAATATAATAAAATGTAATTAATAGTAAATGATATTTTTCATTATCTTTAAAAAACTTAATACCATTATCTATAAATAATTTACAATTTTTAGATAAAGAAAATGTTTAGTACTAGCTAGGAAGGCTGCTAATAATTCACCCAAAGAAAAAGGAAGACTGCTAAAGAAATTGACTATTTTTATATCATGTATACTGCAGTGCAGGTGAATCCAACTATTTCTATTTCATTGAAAACTGTTTTTTTTGTCCTTTTGTGTTTGGTGTCATAAGTCATAACTCCTCCATAACAAACATCAAGTGATATTTTCTAGGTTAAAACTCTTATTTGGTCCTTTATAATATTTATTTGTTTCAATTTAGTCCCACTTTAATTTTTTATTTTAATTTGATCCTTAATAATTTAAATTATTGCAATTTGGGACTTCCATCCAAATGATTTAAACGAAGTTAACTGTTGGCCACGTGGATGCCAGGTGGATGCCACGTAGATGTGTAGGTGGATGCCAAATTTCTTGAATACACCTGGAACCAGAACAGCCTGTTCTGAAACCAGAACGGCCCGTTCTGGTTGCACTCTTGGTGTATTAATTTTGTACCTGGAACTGGCTGTTCTAGATGCAAAATTAACACACCAATAGTGTAACCAGAACGGGCCGTTCTGGTTCCAGAATGGTCGATGACTATAGTTCACGGTTGTGAATCGTGCAAGGAAAAAAACTCAAGATACAAACCATTTCAAACACTAGATTTGGTAATATTGACAATGGGGATTGATAACTTCAATTGCTAAACATTTGGGCTATATAATGTATCATTAAGGACGATGCAGTGTATCACTAAGAACAATGGTAGCAAGTTTTATTTCATTGTTAGTCAAACTGGAGTGAATCACTTACTACCAAATTGACACTATACAGTCAAGGATGAAACGAAAACGATGTTTCCCCTTGAAGTCATTGACGATGTACCCCAACAATAACAACTTGTTCTTGAGGAGGTACAACCTGAATTTTTGTGGTTTAGGGTTTCCCTTCAGCGTTACCCAGATGATTTCCTTTCTTAGTAATTTCTTTGAACTTTTTTAGTATATGTTATGTTCTGAATTTTTGTTTTCAGTTTCTGAACCATGTTTCTGTCTTTGAATTTATGATATGTTATGAATTTTTATTTTCAAATTTTGAATCACATTGCGGCATTTTGGTCAATGCATCCAGAACGGTCCGTTCTAACACCAGAATGGCCCGTTCTGATGCACTCATGGTGTGTTAAATTTGCATTTGGAACGGCCCGTTCCAGTTGCAAAACTAACACATAACATGTGAAAGTAGAACGGGTCGTTCTGGTTCCAGCTGTATTCATGAAATTTGGCGTCCACCTATGAATCTACGTGGCATCCACCTGGCATCCACATGGCCAACAGTTAACTCTGTTTAAATCATTTGGACGGAAGTCCCAAATTACAATAATTTAAATTATTAGGGACCAAATTGAAACCAAAAATTAAAGTGGGATTAAATTGAAACAAAAAAATATTATAAAGGACCAAATAAAGGTTTGAACTTATTTTCTAACTAGTTTTACTTAAACCTATCAGTGATATTTTCTCAATTTATTATAATTTTCATTTTCTTTTTACTTCTCAAATTTTAAGCTTTTTTTTTATGCATTTTCTTAAAAATAATTTTTTCGAGTTTATTAAAAAAATGGTTGTCAAACAAGACCAATTCTTACAAAGGATTTTTTTATATAAAAAAATCGTGCTTAAAATTGAAAATAAAATTTGATTTAACATTAGATCAATCCAAGTGGTTACTAATGTTTTTTTTTTTTGAATTAAGAATGAAATTATAAAGAAATAAATATAAATGATAAAATAGAGGGAAAAAAATAAAAAAAAATGTTATTTGGATAAATAGAATTAAAAAATATATATTTTAATATTTTTTATTATATTTTTATATATCACCTTTATATCTCATGTCATTATAACGGTTATATCATCCACTCTTTTAATAACACATTCACCAAAATATGAAAATCACATAAATAAATACGTTACTACAATAAATATTACATATAATAACATACAAAAAGTGTCACTATAAATATAATATATGTAGGTATATATCTATTTGACATATAGTTACATAATTTTAGTGTTAATTTTGAATGAGATTTAACAATATATTTTATGTATCATTATAGTTTATACCCACACTTTTTAACAATATACCAATATATATTATATTTATTGTGTAGGTAATAGTAGGTTTTAGTGACACACATTGTGTCACTATAAGATGTGTATCACTATATGACAATTTTATTGTCGTGGGTGTTAAGAATACTAAAAACGTGTTTATGAATTATTAATTATTATTATTATTTAAATAATTTTTTATATTTATTTAGTATATCAATTACAGTTATTGAGTTAATGCATTCTATTCTATCAATTCTTGTCAATAGCTACGATTGAGATTGACCTCGCTACACAAACAACTATGAGAAAGATAATTAATGGAGAAATCTTAATTCCTTTGAAAATATAAATGAAAAAATAGTCGATTCATTTAAAAATTTACACCCGTTTATACATTTGATTTTAAATTAAGACTTTTTTTTTCTTTAGATGGAGGATTATTCGACTTATTTGATTAGGATGATATATCAATTCTCTAATTAATTAGTGTTAAATGAATGATGAGGATATGTTTACGAAAAAAAAAGGAAAAAGTAATTTGATTGTCACGTTCTTCAACACAAAAATGTAAGTAACAATTTTTTATTTACAATTCAAACTTTAAAATGTAGAACTACAATTAGAGAAAATAGTAGATAATGCATTACGTAAATAGTTACTGTTAGTATCGAATTCAAGAAATCATCATTAATAAATTTTTTAAATAATCATTATAAAAATTAATAACTTTATATTCACAATATTTTATGATTAAAAAACAATATAAAAAGTTTTATAGTTTTAATACATGTATTGTTTATTTTGATTGTTATAAATTATCATTTGATCATCAAATATAATTTAACACCATGTTGTTTATTTTTATCATATAAGAATTCAGTAGGTCCTACATTTATTACAGTTCAGTAACTAAGCAAGGAAAAACATAAATATAATATAACTAGGATTTATCATGTAAACAATTATTAAATACTCATGCAATAAAATAAGAAAGGAAAGGAAGAATGATGAAAAACATGACCCTTCGAGCTCTCGCCTTATGATAACTTTGAACCTCTGTTCTTAACTCTCAAGCTTCGAATCCTAACTTCACTCCTATAAATGATGTTCTAGAACAAATCAAAGCTCTCATATGAAGTTAAAAGGAAAAAAATTTTCTCTCGCTCTAAAGACTATTTCTCTAAAATCTCTCTTTAGTTTATTTTTGA